CTCAACCATCATCATTACTGAAAAATAAAAAGAAACTAAACAGAATGTTGACTGATTTTCTATTTTTCTTTCAATATACCTTTTCTTTATTTACGATTCTCCACTACTGAAATGAGTTCAATGACTTGGCAGGCTGTGATGAAGAACTCCACCGATGCAATGAAGGATTCAAGGGTTTTAGACTTTGTCAATACGGTAAGCTTAGGAAGCTCCTTTGATTTTATCTTGTTGAAGTTTTGAAATTTATCCTTACAATCCTGATGGACATAGTGAAGTAATGACGAATTTTATTCACCGACTTTTTTCATGTCCCGAGCAGGTTAGTTCTCTTCAATACAGAAAGTTGGATTTTGAAGAATTCTGTGCTGCTGCAATAAGTGTACATCAGCTTGAGGGAATGGAAAGCTGGGAGCAACATGCTCGTCGTGGCTATGAGTTCTTTGAAAAGGAGGGGAACAGGCCTATTATGATAGAGGAACTTGCCTCGGTACATTCTCCCCCCTCCCCCTTTTCTTATCATGATTCTAATATGGTGGTGGCATGACTAAACTTGCCCAAATTGAATTCTGAACTTCATTAACTGGAGTATTGCAAAATTGCGGAAACATCTTTAATTCTCAGCTTCTAGCTTACTAATTTTAACTATATTTCTTCAAACAGGAACTCGGGCTTAGTCCTTCAGTTCCAGTTCATGTAGTTCTGCAGGACTGGATAAGGCATTCTGATGGGAAGCTCAGTTTCTTGGGATTTGTCCGGCTTCTGCATGGAGTTTCTTCGCGTACATTTCAAAAAGCTTAGAATATAACCTTCCTTTATGAACTTATCCAATGCTTCATCTAGCCTTCAGACTACTAAATCGAAGAATCAAAGTCTTTTTGCTTGATCGAATGGTGGCAAAAGATGATCTGTTAAATGGTGAGACAGCTGGTTTACGACGAAGCTACAGATCCTATTTGATAATGCATGGCATTAGCAGCATATTTGGTGTCAAGTCTTATTTTGTCATGTAATTCTTCTATTCTTCGAATGTTGGATGGCATACCACTTAAGAGGATTGTACAGAAAAGTGTAAGTAGGGTCAGAAAAGACAGCTGAAAGCTGAGATGAGTTTTTGTGGCTTCTGGAGGGTAAAGCCTTGTTTACCATTTCGCTTAGCTTAATAAATTCTCTCTTTTATTGTGTCTGTAACCTTCTTAGATTGTCAATATATGGACAGCCATTCCGCAACTGCAGTCAGTTTTGCTTGTGAGTTGGTTTGGATATGTGATTGTGGTGGCTTAAGACTTCACTTCATGTCCCGAATTGGCATTTCTACTGTTAAAATAGGCTTGCAACTCTTAATCTTGGGTTTTTTGTTTCCGATTTTGTTAATATTCTTTAGGAGGCACAGATGATTTATAATCTCATAATTTTACAAAACTCATTAAATTTTGTATTAACTATATTAATTCCTTAGCCAATACAACAATAGTAATAATTGTTTTTGTTCTGTATAATATTACTACTACTACTACTACCTCACACATTCGTCTGAAAATTTTGGTTCAAATGTATAACGTTGGAGGGTGAAATGCTTTTGTCTTTTGAGCAAATGATAGGGCATTTACCAAAATCGAAATGATAGGAGGTTATGTGCAATTGATGCATACCTTTTTAGGGGCAATTGCTTTTGAGCTTTGAGTTTTTCTTTGTTTATAAGAAAAAAAGAATTTGTTGTCTGGCAGTTGGGAGTTTTACTTATAGGTAAATGTCCCACCAACATAATTTACTCTTAGAAATTATGATCCATAGTAATTTCATCAGGAGTTTAAACAACTAGGTTTGGTCCAAGGAGGGCCAATAATCCTCAGTGAAATGATTTAAACCTTTGAGACAACGGCAGATACAACAGTTATATTTTAATGGACATAAAACTATTTAATGCGATAGTATAATAGATGATTTATTCTATTTTTGTGGCATTGCGTAAGTAAATACGATTTTCCAAAAAATGTTCACTTTTGCCTCAATATTTCAGTTTTATTTTAGAGAATACCATAAACATGCAAAACGAATGTGTAGAATTCACCTTAACGATAAAGCATAACGAAAAGTTTTTATTATACATGCCATAGTCACATATATCAAATACGATTTATAAGTGGTATATGCCGAACGCGATTTATAAGATGTATTTGTTGAATGCAATTTATGTTCGCTGATAGACATGCCTCATAGTTTATCTATCCTCAATTCCTAGTTGGATCCTCATTCTTTACATAATTTTTTTTTTAAAATTTTAGCTCTTCATAATTTTGATAGAGAATGATTTTTTTAAAAAAGGTTTCTCCTATCGTAGGTTAAATAAAATAAAGAGTTATTCTTCGATGTAGCATAAAATATATTTACCAAGGCCTAAAAAAATTAATTGATAAAGCACTATTGGATACACATATGCATAACAGCATAAGTGAATTTTTATATTTATCAAAGAACACCAGTGAATCTCTATGTTTATCCGAAAAAATTGACAAATCATTATTATATAAAGGTTATACCATAGAGGAGAAACTTCTTCTTCTTTTTTTCATATAAGCCATTCCCTATTAGAGAATTATAAATAAAACGATAATTTTTTTAAAAGAAAATTAATACTTATGTAACTAATAAAAATGTCCAAAAAGGAAATGGAGAACGGGGATATTTTTTTAAGGTAAAATAGCCTCTGAACCACTTAAACTGCACTCATTTGTCAACCCAATAAATGAACTTATGATTTTCCCCTTTAGACAATTCTACTTGTTCATTTGCATAATAATAAACTTGTTTGACCGTTGACCGTAGTTGCGTGGCAAAGACCCAACTGATGTGGTCAAGGTATGTGTTAATCACGCTGATAGAGCGCGTGAATAGACTTACTTTAATGAAAAAAAATGTACTAAATTCAGAAAACAAATACTAAAGGATAAAAAAACAAAATTAAAAAAAATCCCCAATGCCTACCCCTTTCTTCCTGATTCCCACCCTCCTCCATTCTTTTTCTTTTTCCCCCACCCCTTTTTCTCGTTTCCTGTTTCACCTTCTTAAGATGTTTAGATTTGCGGTGGGTAGGCAAGGATGCGATCAAACTTGCGATATTGAATTACAATTTTGAATCAACCAACCATTTCTATGTTAAAGACTTATTGTACATCTCTATTTCTCTGTAATTTATGAGGTTAAGAGATGAATAACATGGGCTTTAATTTCCATTTATGGACTTTCAAGCAAGGGAATATTGATGAAATATATAGAAGAACCGATGAGATACTTTTGAAGAAAATTAAAAAAATTATTTTCGAAGAAGGCGATGACTAGCATATGATTTTTCTTTTTAGTTAGTGGCGCTGTGTTAATAGCATGATTGTGGTGGTGGTAGTGCATTGCTGGAATAAAATTACAGAGGAGTATTTTTGTTTGTCTATTATAATTTATGGGTGGCCAGGTGGTTTATTTGAGTGAGGAGGGATTTTCTCGGTCGTGAGATTGTGATGAGACTGGTGGTTTGAGGTGGTGGTTTTGTTGAGGTTTTTTGTTTTTAAGATGAAATAGTCTTAAAATGAGAGTGAATGGGAAATGGAGGGAAAATAAAATTTTTTGAGTAAAACTTTAAGTTTTCCCCTCTTGACAATGAGACATTGTCCCATATTGGAAGAGGAAAAGATTTTTGGTGGGTATATATATAATTGCTCTTCTTGTAGCTCTTAAAGAGTTAAGAAGAAAGCAAGCCTCGCGCCGCCGTCGTCGTCGCTCGGCTCGGCTTCGGCTTCGAATTTGGTCAAATGATTGATTGATTAATTTTTTGGACCAAATTTATTTGTTAATAATAAATATTAACGTAAGATTATCCGCATTTGTAACGGATATGTTCCAATCCGTGTATTGACCACCAG